AACTTTACACAAAAAAATACTTCTGCTAGGACATCTGCCCAGCAACCATCTGCGTAACCTTGAACTGGCATTACCCTTGTTACTGATCTGTGTAGCCAAGGATAATTATCCCCAAACAATTATGTAATTGTCCATCATTTTTCCTTTGAAACCCTTTGTCTTCCTTTACCTTCCTGAATATGCACAGTTTACTATGGCACGTGTATTCTCATTGCAATGCCCTATTCCAGAATAAATATCATTTTCTTTTAGAGATCCTCTCTGTTTGTTATTTTGGTTGACACCCTTCATTAACTCAGCTCTCAGAGAGCCAGAGCTGCATGGAGCAGTACCATCAGATTAGTTTTGTGATTCTCAGAGTTGAAGCCCAAAAGCCTTTTCCATCCAATGAAAGGCATTTATTATATACTCTTTAGCCTGAAGTCCACCTTCATTCATACAATAACAGCCAACCAGCTTGGGCCCATTTCAGGTCCAAGCTTTTAAAAATCATAGAAATGAGCTTGTGAACATCCCACCCCCACCCCCATTGCATGTTACTGGAGCCACCACAGGGTCCAGGCCCCTTTTTTACAGATGGGTACACTGAGGCTCAGAGAAGAGGTGTGACTCACTCAGAGCTGCACATCTTGTCCTCAATGGCAGTGAGGTTGGAGCTCAGGTTCTGACATCCCCTTCATGCTCCCTGACACCTCTCTAAGCTCTCAAAACGGAAGAGCAAAAGCCAAAGCTGGCCTGAGGGACCTCCTGTCTCTGGGCCTATGCATCACTCTGTCCCTCTGCCTTGGTGTCTCTGTCTACTTGTCTGCTCTATACCTATCTATTTTTCCCTCTCAGACTCTGTGTCTTTGATTCTCCCTATGCTCACATTCTCATTCCAATAAACCATGTCCCCTCTCCCCACCCCATCCCACCCAGAGACACACAGAAGTCCTTTTGTCTCCAGAGATAGTAAAATCTCCTCCCTCAGACCTTGCCCTTCAGCTGGGGCCCGCACCCTGCCTGGCTGGAGAGAGCTCTGCTCGCAGACTAGGAAATCTACAGAGTCCCTACATTGTCCTGGTCGGAATGAGTTTTCTATACTCCTGGTCATCCCCACCCAGGCCTTGACCTGTGCATGTCACCTCCTCCCCTTTCGTCCCTAATAAAGTACTTTGAGATCCAATGCAGTGGCTCTTTCTGGTCAAAAGAGGAGGGGAGATAATTGGGTGGGGGGAGATGGGGTGAGGGAGAAACTGCACAACCAAGGGAGGGGATTAACAGCCCCTCCAGCCCGACTACTCAAAGGCTAGATCAATATACATATGCGTGTTTATATATTACCCCAGCTTACATGCTGGAAATGAGCAAAATAAGAGAAACAAGGACACTGTTGTGAGTTCAGTATTCTCAGATTACATTTTTTCTACTTTTTATGAGGAGCAGGAGAGATATAAAAATGTCCTTTCTTTGGTAAAATGATGGTAATAGTGTTAGATTAAAAAAATATATTAATATCCTTATATGGGTGTGGAGGGGAGAAGATTTGCCGACCATATGTCATTTTCCCAAAACATTCTGGGAATTAAGTGGTATGTAACACACAGAATTAAGCAGCTTCATAAGGTCACATAGCTAGTAAGGAGCAGACGTGGCATTTGAATTTGGCATCATCTGACCCCAAAGCCTGTGCTGTTTCAACTGCCCCTCAGTGCCCTCCCGCGTCCTGAGTACCAGGGTAAGGAGAATGACAACCACTGGCATTTCTGAACTGCTTAGTGTGTCAGCACCCTTCACTTTCATCTCACTGAATAATCACAGGTCCTATCCCCATTTTACAGATATAAAAACTGAGGCTCGGGAAGCTGCATTTGAATCTACTGTATGATGAAAAAGCTCAGTCTTAACCCCTTCACCCTCCCACCTCTCTGCTAAGAAGCAAGAAGCTCAGGGATTGGACAAAGGAGAGACAAAGAAGCAAACATTGCCCTTACAGGGTGGGAATTCCAGATGATCTCCCGGGTTCACCATTTCTGATACTGCCTTTGAAAAGAGCCCAGGCCAAAGGAGAAATGAGCAAGTTGAGCTTGTTCATGCTGGTCCTGCCTTGGGACATGGCAGATCTGGAGAGGGTGAGGACTTGGGGTGAAGGACTTGGTATCCTGGCTTGTTAAGCTGCTGTTTCAATTGAAGAGGAACTTTTGCTGCAAGTCTGTTTCATTCTCTATGTAACAGTAACCTTCAAACCTCTGTACTCTTTTATGCTTTTTGAGGACTCATATCCCAATCTGATTTGATCACTCATTGGCTCATCCATTCAACAGCCAAGACAGTTAAGAGCATTGACTGTTGAGCCAGACTGCCTAGGTACAAATTTAACTTAATAGCTAAATTTGTGTGCTTGGGTAAGTTACCGTGAGCTCTGAGTGTCTCAGTCTTATCTGTAAATTAAAACACTAATAGAATCTGTTTCCTGGGGTTGTTCAAAACAGTAAATGAATGAATATGTAAAAGCACTTAGAACAGCACCTAGCCCATAATAAGTGCTGTAAAAGTGTCAGTTCTGAGCACAGTAGTCACTAATATAGATCAGGGTGGGCAAACTACAGCCCACAGCCAAACCTGGTTCACTGCCAGTTTTTGTGAGTGAAGTTTTATTGAAACATGGCTGTGCTTGTTCATTTATGTATTGTCTATGGCTGCTTTCATGTTTTAATAGCAGAGATGAGTCGTTGCAATGGAGACTAAATGGCTCGCAAAACCTAAAATATTTACTTCCTTCTTTCTGCCCTTTACAGAAAAAGTTTATTGACCCCTGAGATCTATAATGTTCCTGTATTCCTGGAGCTTATCATTCTAGTGGGGCAGACAGGCAATAAACAGAAGATGAACATGCACATAGTTTATTCAAATCCAAGTAAGTGTTACCTGGGAGAAAAACAGAGAATTACAAGAGCACAGTCTAAACTAGAGTGGATAGTCAAGAGGGTCTTCCTGCAGAGAGATTTCTTTTTAAAGTTATCTTTTGGAGCAGTTTTAGGTTCACAGCAAAATTGCACAGAAGGTGCAGATTTCTGACATAGCCTTCACTCCCACATATGCTCAGCCTCCCCCATTATTGGCCTCGGAGGGATCTTTTTTTTTTTTTTCCTTTTTGTCGTTTTTACTGACCGGTAACAGGATCGCAACCCCTGGTGTCGTGCCCGTACCGGAGACCAGCAACGTGATCGCAACGGTGTTGCGCCCACACCGCGCTCAGCCAGTGAGTGGGAACCGGTCTCCACATGGGATCCGAACCCTCAGCGGGAGCGCCGCCACGCTCCCAAGCGGCGCACTCTCCAGTGCGCCACCGGGCCGGCCCCTCAGAGGGATCTTTTTGACGGAGAAGCTGGACAGGCTCTGAGGAAGTCATGGCAGTGTGGGTGGAGAGCTGGGAAGAGCACATGGCATTACCAGGGACTAAAAGGGGACCTCCTAGGGGTGGAGGAAAGGAAGTGAGATGACCCTGGGGAGGAAGGCAAGGGTCAAATCATGAACAGTCACTAGAGGGCAATGGAGGGCACATCAAGATTCTACCACTGGAAAGACATGGTCAGACTTCCACCGGAAAAGACAGTTCTGACTACACTAATGGAGAACAGATTTGATGAGGACCAGAGTGGCTGCCGGGAGTGGGCAAAAGGCTAGGTCAGTAATCCAGGTGAGAGAGGAGGATGGCTCGAACCTAGATGGTGGCACTGGAGAGACAGAAGAGGATACATTTTTGAGATGTTTAGGAGGTGGAGTTGAAGGGGACTTTGGAATAGTTGGGTGTGGGGGTGAAGGAGATGGAGTAGATGGGGCT